CTTCGGGTAGTGTGGGCGGCATATAAGTTAAATAAATAAATAAATAAATAAATAAATAAATAAATAAATAAATAAATCAGATAAGTTCATAAGGGAGAATGTCCCTAATGAAGGACCATTACAATTAAAAGGGTACAAAATACATTACAATTTAAAAAAAAATGTTTTGATCTATTCTATTGTTGTTTTAGGAAGAACTGCTGGATAGCTCTGTGGTTTCAGTCTAAATAAATAAATAAATAAATAAATCAGATAAGTTCATAACGGAGAATGTCCCTAATGAAGGACCATTACAATTAAAAGGGTACAAAATACATTACAATTTAAAAAAAAATGTTTTGATCTATTCTATTGTTGTTTTAGGAAGAACTGCTGGATAGCTCTGTGGTTTCAGTCTCTGGCTACAGAGCCAGAGCTTGGGAGCTCGATCCTCCACTGTGCCTCCTTGATAGGGCCTGGACTCAATGATCCAGCCCTGCAGTCTTAAGATTAGATGACATTAGAGTTCTAGTCTTTGCCTTCTCAATGAATGGGGAAATGATGTGGGGGGGGGCCTCTGTGCCCATTAAAACATCAGAATGTGGTGGGAGAATCAGATCTCCCCAGAATCCCCTAGCCAGCATGGCCACTCTCAGGACTGCTTCCTTCATTGCTTTCTGCAGAAACCCACCAGTCCATATCCTAGTGTAACCACATGCTCAGGCCACTGTAGTGTCCAGCCACCGAAGGCCCTCCCACTTAATGGCACTCCCACTGGAATTTGCTGAAAACCACCCTTATATCTAAGCAGCATCTCATATATCTATATTGCCATTACCTTCATGTCAGAACTCATGACATTTGAAGTTGCCAATGAATAAAATAGTTAAGAGTTAAATTAAAACTGAATAAAGTAGTATATTGCATCTGGCTGGATTGCTCAGTGCGTTGGGTATCTGGATGAGGAACCAGAGGTTAGGAGTTGAATTCGTCACTCTGGGTGTGTGGCCTTGGGCAAGCTACCCTCTCCCGGGGTGCCCGCAGTAGAAGGGAACGGTATACCATTCTTTCGCTACCAAGAAAATCCTGAAAAGGGCTACTGTAACTAATAATTGATGTGATGGCACAAAATTATTATTACAAAGTATATTGTGGGTAAGATTCATGTTGTGTCAAAACAAGGCTCGTATCACTACCATTTCTTTTAAACACTTGAGCACTCTCTATTTCTATAGCCCCTCTTATTAAATTCAGTGTAGACGCACTCTGCACATTTGGACATCATAGAAAGCCAGGATTCCTGGATGTGGAGAGAGGTGGCACTAAGCAAACCCTTCTCAGGAGAGCACTCCACAAACAGTGGGTATTCCTAACATTGCCCTTCCCCATGGAGCCTTCTACAGAATAACAGATTGAGGGGGAAGTTGCATAGTAGGGCCTCCACAGATGATTTTAGAGCCCACATAGTGTATATATGATAAGAAGCATTCCTTAAGGTACAGTGGTGCCTCACTTGATGATGTTAATTCGTTCCAGCGAAACCGCTGTAGAGCGAAAACATCGTCAAACAGAATTAAAAAGCCCATTGAAACGCATTGAAAACCCTTCAATGTGTTCCAATGGGCTGAATACCTGCTCGTTTTGCGAAGATCCTCCATATGGCGGCCATTTTCGGTAAAGCGAGGAATCCATCCCTAGAAAACGGGGGGGGGGGCATTTTGACAGCTGCTGGCCATTTTGAAGCCGCCAATCAGCTGTTCAAAAATATCATTTTGCGAAGAATCGGTTCCCGAAGCAGGGAAGCGATCATCACAAAGCGAAAAAACCCCATTTAAAACATCATTTTGCAATCGCATTTGCGATCACAAAAACCTCATCGTAAAGCGATTTCCTCATTAAGTGAGGCAATCGTTAAGCGGGCACAACTGTATTGAGATTCTAAGCCATGTGTGCATTGATACATAGAAGACGGCGATGTAGTTTAGGAGGAATAAAAAGGAGCGAAGCAAAACAACCACAAAACACAGATTTGTTGCAGAAAAACTGCGTTACTCACATGACCAATCTTGGCAAAATCAAATTAACCCATCAAAACTACCAAGTGATTGTGAAATGATTTCTTTCAGAGACTGGATGAAATCATTAAGATCACAAGTTAATTTTTCCCACAGCACCTTTTTCTTGATTAAATCCATTGGTTCTCCATCTTTCCTATCTTACATCCCACTTATCACTGAGTCCTACCAAGCCACAAAAAGTGTACATTTTGTTACGTACAGCTGGGGGCTCCTTTAGCCAATAACCATTATTGCTATTTACACAACAAAGCTTCAAAGGAAAAGGACCAGGGGTCTTAAACCATCACTAGGTGTGATTTGACTCATATAATTTGCAATTTGTGTCTACTAACCATTTTGGGGGCACGTATATATGTATACATATTTGCCATGTAGTCTCATGTCTGGGGAAGTAGGCTTGTTCCATCAAACCTCACACTAAAATATAGCAGCTCGTCTTTCAGGTCCTGCAATGTTTTTGTCTTCTGTCTTGGGCCCTCACCATGATGCCCCTGCCTAGCATTGCCCACCACCCCCCTGGGCTTTTCCTGCTAGCTGCTGCTCCCCTTCTTTGCTCATCTAGCATCTTTGTAGTGTTGTCATGTGTTGACAATGTGGTGGATTTGGGTCTCATTGACACCGTCACAAGAATTACTAGGTCAGCACTAGGACTTTCATCAAATGGCCAGGATTACTGTTGTAGAAATATCTACAATTTTGCTGTCCTCTGAAGATGCCGGCCACAGAGACTGGCGAAACATTAGGAAGAACAACCTTTCGAACACGGTCAAAGAGCCCGAAAAACCCACAACAACCATTAGATCCCAGCCGTGAAAGACTTTGTGAATGCATCTGCATTTTTACTTGTGTGTACTGTTACTACCAACCTTCATGGGGGCTCACAATAATCTCTTTGTAATCACCAGGAGATAAAGTCATTCCACTCTGCCTCCCCCAGTGTGGGAAATGCACCGTTTGCAAAAATCCCAAAGGCAACTGGTGTGAAAAGACAGAGTGAGTATTTGTTATTATTTATAGACGGTAGGAGTAATGTACTGTTATTTCTTGTCCCTGCTGAAGACCAGAATCAAACCTTCTGATCTTTTTTCATATTTTAAAGCTTTCTCGAACCCAGAGGAGTAATGTATGATGGCACCACCAGGTTCACTTGCAAAGGAAAGCCAGTTCACAATTTTGTTGGCACCAGCACCTTCTCGGAATACACCGTGTTGCATGAAGATTCTGTGGCCAAAATTGATCCTGCCGCTCCTCTTGAAAAAGTGTGCCTCATTGGCTGTGGATTTTCTACTGGCTATGGGGCTGCCGTCAAAACTGCAAAGGTAAGAATTAACAACACAGATGGGCGATCTGCTGCATGGGGAACATGCGTTGTGTCCAAAGTTCCTTTCTATCACTTATATGTTATGAAACTTTTCCCACAAAAACTTACTTTATTTTAGTTCCATAATGGAAAATATATAATATGCAGCACATAATTACCACATACTAATTTCACATTGCTGAGATTCTCCAAATGACATTTTCTTGCTTTTTATGTTGCTGTAGGTTCATCCTGGTTCTACCTGTGCTGTTTTTGGCCTGGGAGGAGTAGGTCTCTGTGTAGTCATGGGCTGTAAATCAGGTGGCGCTTCCCAGATCATTGGGATTGATATCAACAAGGATAAATTCCCTCTGGCTAAACAGCTGGGTGCCACCCAATGTATCAGCCCTCTGGATTTCAAGAAGCCCATCAATGAAGTGCTGTTTGAGATGACCAATGGTAAAGGTGTAGACTATTCGTTTGAAGTGATTGGGCGCACAGATACCATGGTACGTGCATCAAAATAGCCTTGTAACAGACCTGAACAGTTTTAAAGCATCCAGTATTTTTCCTATTCTCATTTTAATGCAGATTTTGCTCCAGTAATTATTTGATCAAGATCTTTTGGATGTGTGACATAAGCAAAAAATATGGGTGGTACAAATAAAGGGGTCTAGAAGTTGTTTTCAACACTTATTCTGTGTGTCCTAAGGTTTGCCTGCAAGCAGACGGAAGTGCTAGCCTTATATCTGCTCCTTTGTAATCCTGCCACTATAGGCGACCACAGAATGTATTGCAGTTTTTAAATTCTCAGCGGCACATATAACTTAAGGAACTAGTAGTGTCTATCTCACTTTACATAACTGCTGCATTTGCTGTTTAACTGCATCTGATTCACCACTCAGTGGAAGCTAAGATGCTTCTTACAGACAGAATGCATCTTTAGTTGACTGTCTGCTAAGTACTAGGTTGTTTCCCATCTCTCTACTCAAGCTATGAGTCTTGGCATTATTAAAACAGAGCTAATAATGATTGAGTGTATCATAGGGATGTGGCTTCCCTTCATGCAATTATATTTTCTTCCCCACATGCTAGTCAAGACAACAGGTTGTACCCTATGATAAATATAAGGTCACTATGAGTCTGGGTTTCTTTCTTACTGTGATCACACTTTAAAACCATAATAGAGAAGAGCTGGTGCTTGAAAGCTGCTAGTCAAGACAACAGGTTGTACCCTATGATAAATATAAGGTCACTATGAGTCTGGGTTTCTTTCTTACTGTGATCACACTTTAAAACCATAACAGAGAAGAGCTGGTTCTTGAGAGCAATTTCTATTATACTGCAGTGGGGTCTTGACTTGAGAACTTAATCTGTATTGGAAGGCGGTTCTCAAGTCAAAAAGTCTGTAGGTCAAGTCTTCATTGACCTACAGTGCATTGAAAACCGATTAATCCCGTAACAGGCCGTTTTTGTTCCATTTTAGTTTTTTTCTGGTCTGTAAGTCAAATCTCAGTCTGCAAGTCAAACCTAAATTTTGCGGCCAGAGAAGTCTGTAACTCAAAAAGTCTGTAAGTCAAGCCGTCTGTAAGTCAAGGGTCCACTGTATACTAGGCAAACAGATCCTCTGTTTGATTGAAATGTGTAACTCTGGAATTTCTCCAGATTTCAGCCTTGGCTTCCTGCAACATGAACTATGGAACAAGTGTCGTAGTGGGAGCACCTCCTTCAGCATCTGAGATTACTTTCTCCCCAGCACTTATCTTCACAGGTCGCACTTGGAAAGGATGTGTATTTGGAGGTATGAGCAGAATTATTAATATTAATTGACTGCTGCAAGGTGTAATGACATATTTTCCTTACAGGAAGCATGGAGCAGACCATTGCAACATTTCATGCAGTAGACTGGCAAGGAAGTTCAAGAACACTGTTGCAGTATCCATAATATTTTCAGCAATTTCAGTGCTCTCATAGATGTAGAGGATGGCCCTCCTTTACATCAGGGTTAGGCAACTTGCAACTCCCCCAATATTCCTGGATTACAATTTTCATCAGCTCTAGCCAACATGACTAGAGTTAACATGGACAGAATGGTGTAAATCTGATCTAGGCTAGAAATCTGTTGGATTGCCAAATCTTGAAACATTTTCATGGTTTTGTAAGCTCTATGTCACACATTTTGATGGTTTGCTTTCTCATCTGCAGGCCTGAAAAGCAAGGATGATGTCCCAGAGCTGGTTTCAGATTTCATGGCAAAAAAGTTTTGTTTGGATCCATTAATAACTCATATTTTGCCTTTTGATAAAATCAATGAAGGGTTTGAGCTGCTCCAGACTGGAAAAAGGTAAACCTTCCCTCTCTTTTCATAGCTGTTCTTCATCCAGCCAAAACTGAACAGATATGGTCATAAAAGTAGTGGACTAGGAATCCTAAGAGCTTATGTTCCAGGACTGAGTACAGATATGTTAACAGAGCAGTATTAAAGCACAAACAACATTACAATTACAATTGTGTCCACAGAGAATGAGCTGTGATAGTTAAATTGATAGACATGCACTAATACAAGGTAGACTAGTCTTTAGGAACTGAAGAGAACAACTTGGCTTTTTCATTTCTGAAATGCAGATTTTAATGGGCAACTACGTTGTAGCTACAAACTCTCTGAGCAGAACACACAAATACATTGGTGTGTCCATGGCTACAACCTAATACTGGATGCTGCATGAACTGTTTATTTACAAAGAAAGATAAGGCAGAAGAAAATAAAATAGGTGCTCAAAAAAGGAAACACTTGATAGGTACTTCCAAATAGAAATAACTGCATGTGTTTTAATGCTTGTAAATAAAAAAAATGGAATTTTGTACACAAGGTATTCACCCAAATGATATCTGATAACCATACCATTAGGGTCTAATTTCTTTTAATCCTCCTAATAAGCAGCAATTCCGTTTGAAAAAGAAACTGAATCCATTCTGGACAGAGGAATAGTATACATTTATGGTCCATCTACCTTGATTTTTTTTTTTCTGTTAGTAATATATACGTTTTTGCCTTTGTGAGAGGGCTATACTGTATGTATGGATGAAACTGAATGTTTCTGCTTCTTGCTATGCAGCTTTTAAAAATCATCTTTTTAGGCTGATGAGCAGGTTGAACTCTTCTGTCAAGATTCAGTATCCACAGTCTTCACCTGCAAACTATTCAGTGAAGTTTAAACCCGATTGTTGAATCCAGATTTAACTAGTTATTTCCTGCAGATTCTAGTAGCTCTGCTCTAAGTATGACAAAGTCTGAATCCAGCCTATCAACTTTATTTAACTGAAGTCATTACACTAAAACTTAACCTGTCTTCTGATGTTTTCAGTATTCGCACTGTTCTGCTATTTGGTAATGAGGAAAAAAACAGAAAGTGACCTTTTCAAGCTGACTTTCACCACTTTGAATGGCCATACCTGGAATAAGAGGGAATCTCCAGAGACAACTGGATCCTGCCGTCAATTTATGTCAATTTGGAGTCAATTTTTCTTTGTGTGTAATAGAACAAAACTACTGAAAATACCTTATCAGCACATTCAGGACTACACAGGTCATGTTCAACAAAGCAAAAGCAAAATAATAATCTGCTGTAGGTGTTGGGAATTAGGCTACAACCCTACAAACTCATGGGAGTAAATTCCCATTGAATTCAAAGGGATCCTTATTTCTTAGAGGGCATGCACTGTTAATCAGCATATTGAAATTGTTCTACAGAAATAAATTTGTTTTTACATTGTGAACAAAAATAATAAACATTATTTGTGATATATGAATTACAAAGGTTTCCCAAGTTTTCTACAAGTTAAAAAAATGTCGTAGATATGAAATATAACTTTATACCTTTTGATCTGAAATATCAGCAGGGGCAAAAAAATAAGGTCTTCTCTTTGAGATTTGAACTATTTAAACAAACATCTGACACTAAGAAAGAACTGAAATGATCCTAAAATTTAAATCAAGCTCCATTGAATTTTTTTCACTTAGCATATACAAAATGCAATTTATTTATGGTACTGCAGTAATTTCCAGGTTTTTTATTTAGTTTCTGCTTTGCAATTCCTATAGGAAATACATGTTTATTATTAGAGCTGTGCAAATACTGTACACTCTGACGTACTCTGTAAGGGGCATACAGATCAGGGCTGACCCACTAGGAAACATTACAACCTGCTATGCATTTCTGAATCTCTTTTTTAAAAAAATCATGAAGGATTGGAGAACCCAAAAGGGTAGTAGTCGGGGGGGGGGTACACAGTGATGTGTCCACTCAAACCCCTCTCTGTGATATAGGAATATAAAATAGCTCTGTTTGAACCCTGCTTGGGGGGGGGGTTCAATTGCAGCTTCCAGAATTCCCCAAACAGCAGCCATAGGAGCTACAGTTTCAAAACGTAGTCCCAAAAAAAGTAACTTTTCCAATCTCTATTCTCTGCTCTGAGCATGACAGTTCCTATGAAATACTTATAGCCACTGGAAAACCTATTCTCCACAAATATGTTTAAGTCATCAACGTCACCTCAGCTTCTGGTGGTAGCCATCCATGTAGTTTAGGAAGCAAAAAAAGCTTTCATATAGTTCTGCCTCCCAGCCTATGAATTTGGATGAATCTCCATTTTATATTCATATGCGCTCTGGACATGGATGTTCTCCTTTGTCTGCACCAATGATTGATCTTCTGAGGCAATGAGTCCCATAGTAATCTGCAGCAGTGAAAATATATTTCTCTTTTTGCTTTTTAAAGAAAAAAATAATCCTTGAAACCCGTTTTCTCTCCACCTCCATCTCCAAAAGTAGCGACATGGATTAGAAATTGGCCCAAATTGTAATAATTACAAATGATTACCACAGTTCTCCAACACTATTATAACATCTCATCCCATATTACCATCTTTTGACTCTTGTTGCACCTGAGTCAAATGCTCCCCTGCCAAGTATTTATATCTATATGAGCATAATTTTTAAAAAAGATTAATGAAATCTAAGCATCTATCACACTCACAATCATTATAGCAAACCCATACAGAATTACCTTGGTGTAAACCTCACTGAAAACAGAAGTACTTAATTTTGAAGAAACACACAAAAAATTGCAGTGCAAAGCAGTTAGTTCTCATGGGCTGATTTCCACAGATTTTCTAACGACTATTTAGAGAGAAGATTAATTAATAATTACAGACCATCAAAATTCAATATATGGCAACCCTATCTAGAGCTTCCTAAGAAGACAGCAGTCAAAAGCAGATTATCATCCCCTTCTTCTGGGGTGCTCTAGGGCTGTGCATCTCCTTCAGAGCTACATAGGTGCCTTCAACTTTTCCTAGCACTATTGCCTTTTTCAGCAAGTCTTGCTTTCAGTTCATGTGTCCAAAGTACAGTATAACAGTCTCGATTTCCTTATTGTTTGCTTCTATGGGCAGACTGCAATTTACTGCGAACACGCTGATAGCAACTGTTTTGGATTCATTACTACACAATAAAACAGTGTCGTGCTGTATATTTAATTATGTATCCTCTGAGCGATTCCAACTCGTGATTTACTCCTGCCAGGGGCTCCTTGGTAGTAAATATTCAGGCGTGGTTTATCAGCCACTTCTTCTGGTGCTAGAACTCTGAGACTCTGCAGGTTGCCCAAGGCTACATAAACTGGCTCTTCTCCTGGGAGGAGCAGTGGAGAATTGAAGTCCCAACCTCTGGGTTCAGCAGCCAACGATCCAATTCATTCAGTTTTTTTGAAGTTTAGTCGTTTAGTCGTGTCCGACTCTTCGTGACCCCATGGACCAGAGCACGCCAGGCCCTCCTGTCTTCTACTGCCTCCCGGAGTTGTGTCAGGTTCATGTTGGTTGCTTCGCAGACACTGTCCAGCCATCTCATCCTCGGTCGTCCCCTTCTCCTCTTGCCATCACACCTTCCTAACATCAAGGTTTTTTCCAAGGACTCTTTTCTTCTCATGAGATGGCCAAAGTACTGGAGCCTCAGCTTCAGAATCTGTCCTTCAAGTGAGCATTCAGGGTTGATTTCCTTTAGAACTGATAGGTTTGTTCTCATTGCAGTCCAGGGGATTCTCAAGAGCCTCCTCCAGCACCACAATTCAAAGGCATCAATTCTTCGGCGGTCTGCTTTCTTTATGGTCCAGCTCTCACTTCCATACATCACAACAGGAAAAACCATAGCTTTGACTATTCGGACTTTTGTTGGCAAGGTGATGTCTCTGCTTTTCAAGATGCTGTCAAGATTTGTCATCGCTTTCCTCCCAAGAAGAAGGCATCTTTTAATTTCAGGGCTGCTGTCTCCATCTGCAGTGATCATGGTGCCCAGGAAGATAAAATTTGACACTGCCTCCATATCTTCCCCTTCTATTTCCCAGGAGGTGATGGGACCAGTGGCCATGATCTTAGTTTTTTTGATGTTGAGTTTCAGACCGTTTTTTGCACTCTCCTCTTTCACTCTCATTACAAGGTTCTTTAATTCCTCCTCACTTTCTGCCATCAGAGTGGTATCATCTGATTCAATCATTCAACCATTTTAAAAAACCCATAATTACATAGTTTACACTTGCTTAGCAATCCTCCTGGAACAGAGGTGGTGTTCTATTAGTCTGCTAGACTCTAGAGCACATTTCTAAAAATCTGAAGTAAACTATTTCACGCAATATACACACAATACAAGCCCGTGTGCAGGATTTATGCCCCACCACCTTGAGGAACCCTGTCTCATTTGTTTCCCGCCTACTCCTTTGCAAAGCGTTCAACCGCAGCCCACTGCCTGCGTAACGAACAAATGACTACATTTCCCAGAGTTCCTCGCGGGAGATGTACGGAGGGCAAAGCGTGGCACAAAAGCGTGGGACCCCCTTTGGCTCCGCTTTGGGTGGGGGATCTGTTTAAATCTGAACAATCTGAAGGCGGTGCGTGTATATTGTTGCTGAACGATTTTCCAAAGCCGGGACAGACTTTCAAAAGGTGGTCGATATATTCCGTTGTTTGTAAACATGGATACTTCTGGGAAAGTAAGGAAAAATAAATCCTTTCTCTTTCGTTTGGAAGATATAGTCCAAAAGTAACACGGAATCTTGCAGAACCTTAAAGACTAGCAAGGAGTGGTGATGATTGCTTTTGTTTTTGTTTTGGTATAATCCTTCGTGCACTGTAACCCTTTTCATCGGATGCTATCTAAACGCTGACTCTTTAAGGCTTAGCTTCACATCTACATCTTTGCTGCAGAGAGTGGCGTTAAATTCAGTGGGGTTGCATTGTACGGTCCCTGGTCCTGCAAGCATCTGGAGCTGGGTGTTCCGTTCTGATTATCGTTGGAAGTGGGTGGAGTAGAAATTTAGCTGCTTGGCGAGTCGCATCTGCTCACTTGATTTAAACCAGCTGCTTTTGCGGACGTGTGATTTTGCATATATAGGGATCGAGCCTGCAGATCTTATGCACATTTGCTGAGAAGCAAATGTGTGTATTTGCTGAGAAACAAATATGGAGACAGACATATTCCTTATACATCCTCGTGCAGGATTGCAGCCTTTAAAACACAGATGCAGCTCAGCCTGGGCTGGAAATGCCCGAGCCATATGCCGGAAGATATAGTCCAAAAGTAACACGGAATCTTGCAGAACCTTAAAGACTAGCAAGGAGTGGTGATGATTGCTTTTGTTTTTGTTTTGGTATAATCCTTCGTGCACTGTAACCCTTTTCATCGGATGCTATCTAAACGCTGACTCTTTAAGGCTTAGCTTCACATCTACATCTTTGCTGCAGAGAGTGGCGTTAAATTCAGTGGGGTTGCATTGTACGGTCCCTGGTCCTGCAAGCATCTGGAGCTGGGTGTTCCGTTCTGATTATCGTTGGAAGTGGGTGGAGTAGAAATTTAGCTGCTTGGCGAGTCGCATCTGCTCACTTGATTTAAACCAGCTGCTTTTGTGGACGTGTGATTTTGCATATATAAGGATCGAGCCTGCAGATCTTATGCACATTTGCTGAGAAACAAATATGGAGACAGACATATTCCTTATACATCCTCGTGCAGGATTGCAGCCTTTAAAACACAGATGCAGCTCAGCCTAGGCTGGAAATGCCCGAGCCATATGCCCATCAAGTCATCTGATTTATAGTGACTCTGTTAGAGGTATGTGAGATTTTTAAGGAGGTTTATTCCCTGGGATGTCCAGTGGCTTTGAAAATCCTCTGTACAGTACCTTTACTGGACAGCTGCCAGCCAGTCATTGTACATCAGGCGGGGCCCTCCAGATGTTGTGGAACCTCCCCTTCCACCAGTGCTGGTCAGCATAGTTCAGCGGATGAGGTCCAACTGAGCAACACATTCCTTATTCCTAATGCAGTTGATATTACACTAGGTGGATCAGTGGTATGGCTTGGTGAAAACGGGGCAGGCACCTCTCCTGGAAAGAAAGAATTGGCTTAAGAGTTACGTCTTTGGAAATGTAATTATTTAACAGACCTGGCTAATGTTTCTCTCCTGGAAGGAGTTTAGTAACAGATCAATCTACTACAAGTCATTTACCCATTTGGTGCAAAACATGCTAGGCCTCCTGTCACCAAATGAGAACCTAGATGTTGACACAGTACCCTTGGCACTGTGCATGGGAGCAAAAGAGAAGGGAGCCCACACTATTTTATTCTACCTGTTTCTCATTCATGAAAAGCTGCCTGCCGTAGTGAGGAGAATTCTAGGCAGGCTACAGCTTGCAGTGCCTCACGGATGGTAGAGTGTGTGGCCCTCGACCCATTCACATTTTGCTTTGCACAAAATCCAGCATAACCGTTGCACTGACTCTCTGATTGTTTGTTTATTTGGTTTTATAGACAATAAAATGCAAGGCTGCAGTCGTCTGGGAAGTAGGCAGACCACTTTCTATCGAAGAGGTAGAAGTTGCCCCACCGAAGTCTCATGAAGTTCGCATTAAGGTAAGCCATTATTTTGCAGCTGATTTTAATGTTTCTCTGCTACATGAATGTCTCCCCTTTGCCCCCCCCGCCAATGTACAGCTTGTGTCTGCTGCTGTTCTGTTTCTGAAACTATGTGATGGTCTGTCATATATATTGTATTAGAATTGTGGTGGGAAGGCTAAGAGGAAGCCACAAATGTGACCTTAAGGCAGATTTCCTTGTACTGTGATGCTATTTGAGGCATAGATTAGCATCTACACATTGTTTGCTGTCAGACCATGGGGAAATCGTGCATGAATGTTATAGAAAATCAAGAGAAGAAATCAAGCAGAAGCCCTTGTTTGGTCAAGTATCATATCTAGTTATTTTTCAGTACTGTACTTATCATAAAGTAAATAGTTTTCTGGCTGATTTTTATGGTGGTCTTGCTGTTGTTTATTCATAAGATACACAGTTGGGGTAGGAGAGAGCTGGCTTCACAGTAGTGCACAGCAAATGGATCTAGGAGTCTTAGTACACTACAAATAGGAGTCAAAAGTGACACAATCAAAGAGCAAAGAAATGTTCCCCCCCCAAAAAAAAAATACCAACACAGAATTTGGCTGCATCCACAGAAGTACTATATAATGTGTGTCCAAATCAAGTGAAGTAATAGTACTGCTCTGTTCTGCATTGATCAAACACTGTCTGGAAGAATGTCCAGTTGAGAAGGATCTTGATAAGTTAGAATATGTCCAGAGGAAAGTGACCAGGATGATAAAGGAATTGGAAAACCCACAAGGAAGAGGGAATTTGGCATATTTCATCTGGACAGACAGACCAAATGAGCTTGTTTGTGACCTGGATATGCCAGCAGTTGAACCGGATGCCGTGGATTCACACATGTCAAAGAAGTTTTAAGTGGGATTTCCTGTTTTAGCAGATGGCTAGACTTAGTTACCCCTGCAGGCTGTTCTAGCCATCATCCTCTATGATTCTATGGCCAAAATCCTGTTAACGTAAGTTCTATACCATAAGCCAGGGTGATTTTTTTTAATGGAATGTTCCTGCTCACAGATTTGTTTGGTTCTGAATAAACTTTTTATCATCTCTTACAGATAATCGCCACAGGAATATGTGGGACAGATGGGCATGTTCTGACAGGTTCTTTCCCTAAAGTAAAGTATCCTGTTATCCCAGGTCATGAAGGAGCTGGAATTGTAGAGAGCATTGGCGAGGGAGTGACAGGTGTGAAACCAGGTACATAAAAGTAGGGCCTGCTGTTTAAATTGCTTTATAGTAAAAAGTAGTTGAGTAGTTTGAGCACGTATCTTGTCTTTCATTGTACAATTGTTTCTGTGATAGCCAGCAGCCTTCTCCTATGCTTGAAATAATGCCCAAATCAAGGTGTCATAAGGACAGTAACCATGGAGGCTTTTTAAATCCAAAAGTGTAGGCAGATGAGTGAAACTGGAAAGTGATGGAAGAGATTTGTAACAGAAAGATAAAAGAAATGTAGAATCTTCAGCCCCTTCCAATATTACAGTAAACTTAAATATTACAAAACCAGAAGAACTTGTGAAAGGCAGAACAATGGAAAAGCCCTTTCATGAAGAAATAAAACTTTGAGGGCAATTGGAAGACAAATCTGGGCACAACAGTGGCTTCACTATTTTGCTGATAAGTGCCCTTCCTCTTACTTATTTCAGAGTCTGTAGGAGAGATAATTTTTCCACAAAAACAACATTTGGAAATACTGGGGAACCCTGAAGAACTACAAGCATGCAACCCTGACGTGAATTGTGTTGAACCCTGAACAACTGAGGCTAAAATTCTCAAACACTTTTTTGTAGAACACATGCAACATAGAAAGTTCAGTCACTCGTCCTGAAAATGGGAACTGTTGAACAAATCACAAACACGCGATCACTGGTTTGGTTAGTAATATGTTCAGCCTGGCACTTTGTCTCCTTCCAAGCAAGGCAAAGAAATAACCCACTAAATAAAATAAAACTGGCTATTCCCCAGTTTGTAGGGGTGAAAGAGAAGCCAGGCTGGACTGCTTCCATTGGAAGGAAGAGCAATTAAGCTTCTGCTTATGACCTGAATTTGATCCCAAAAAGTTCAGATAGCCAGCTCTAGGTTTACTCCAGTTGGTAAAATGGGTTGGTAAAATGAGTACCAACTTGCTGCGAGGCAAAGTGTTGTTTGCATAGTTTTGTTGTAAATCACCCAGAAAGTGCTTTAGCACTATGGGGCAGTATAGAAGTCAAAACAATAACAACAGTTGAGCAATGGGCACCCAGAGTATCTCATCCTGCCTCGTTCTTAGTAAGCTCCATATGAATGACGAAGAAATTGTAATCTTAAATCTGAAGGCACAGTCAGAAGGCTGTTTCACCATCCTAACAGCACAATAAAAGGTTAATTCCATTTTTGCCTTGTAGAAATTTGAAAAGGATAATTTGGTCGAGAAGTTTCTATTTACAGTATTTGTTCCCCTCACTCCGACTTTTGTTTTTTGTTTTTTAATTTCTAGGTGATAAAGTCATCCCTCTTTGTCTTCCCCAGTGTGGCGAATGTAGTTCATGTTTAAAAGCTAACACCAACTGTTGCCTGAAGACCCAGTGAGTTTGGATATTTGTCTTGTATTTCTCTTTCCCATTGGCATCACGGAGAAAAAGGATTTGTTTGTATTGTTGTTGACAAATCTGGGTCACTTCTCATGCAGCCTCTGTGAACCACAAAACCTGATGCCAGACAAAACCAGCCGATTCACCTGCAAAGGGAAGCAAATTCATCACTTCCTGTGGATCAGCACTTTCTCTGAATATACAGTCATGCCAGACTCTACCGTTGTTAAAATTGATGCCGCTGTCCCTCTAGATAAAGCTTGTCTCTTTGGCTGTGGATTTTCCACTGGTTATGGGGCTGCGCTCAACACAGCCCAGGTAAGATGCCGTGTACACTTGGTTTGTCTAATGTTCCTTCGTGGTCTGTCAGCTGATATTTTCCACTCTGACCTACAGTGCTGTATTCTGGAATTTATCCTAGTTTCTTTTCTCCCTGGCTCTCTAGGTCATGCCTGGTTCTACCTGTGCCGTCTTTGGTTTGGGAGGAGTCGGCCTTTCTGTAGTCATGGGATGCAAAGCAGCCGGAGCTTCTCGGATCATTGGCGTTGACATTAACAAGGAAAAATTTGTGAAGGCGAAAGAACTGGGAGCCACAGAGTGTCTTAACCCTCAGGATCATGAGAAGCCTATTCAGGAAGTGCTGGTTGAAATGACAGGCCATGGTGTCGATTATGCATTTGAAGCTGTTGGGTGTTTGGATACATTGGTATGTGCGGTATTTAATCAACAGCCTGTGGCTCTATCCTATGGTTTCATAGGGAGGTAGCTTTTCATTTTTTTTTTCTGGAAAACAGCAAACATAGCTACAGGGATTCATATTTCCCTCTTGGGCTCTCACTTGGCCCTTGACCACCTCAGGCCTCAGTTATTCCCCTCTTTATTACCATGGGATAACTATCATCGTTCAATTTTTCCCGGAACCCCTTTCCCTCTCTCTGTGCCGTCTGTGGGTCCATGTGCATCCCCAGCGCATCTTTCCTTCCAAGCACTGTGATCGCCTGATCAGCAGTGCTGTCCGTTCAGATACGCTACGATTTAGTGCCGTTACCATATAACCCAAGTTCTGTTACCTTTGAATCCGCACTACCTGCCACAGCAATGGGAATAGGTGCACTACGGAGGCAGACAGTAGGGTTGCCTCCCCTTAAATGCCCTCTGTCTTTCCACGCCCCTCGGCTGTTCTCGTGAACAGCCTTGAGATGTCATGAGGGTATCCAGGAAAGGCCGCAAAGACGCGCCACGATGGGGGGATCCCTCTGGTCCCACCCATCGGTGTGCACATTCTAATAGGCAGCTGGACTGCAGCTTAGCCTATCTTAGACCATGAAGCCATCCAGCCCACCCTTTCTTTAAATGAACACTATTTAAGTTTTGCTCTGGCAATGGAACTCCCAGAATGGCGAATTCTGGGATTAGAAGTCCAATAAAAAAGAATGCCACATTCCTGTTACTGATCATTGGCCACATTGGCTGGTGATGATTACAATTACAGTTCAACACATCTGGGGAATACTAGTTACAGCTATCTTGTATCTTCCAAAATCAAAGTTATCTATAAGAATGAGGAGCATGTGGACTTAAGCAGCCTATATATTTTCAAATGATCTTCTTGCTCTAACTTTTATAAGACACATAAGTAAATCCTAAAAGTCTTGTGCTGCAACATGCAGGAATGCCTCATGAAAGAGAGAAAACTACATTGTGTAACATGTCATATTTGGGATGGATTGTTTCCCAGGATGGAAGATGAAAGATTCTATCCCTCAATTGGTGACCAGTTACATGGAGAAGAAATTTAATCTAGATGCTTTGATAACACACACTTTGCCATTCAGCAAGATCACTGAAGGGTTTGATTTGCTTCATGCTGGAAAGAGGTAAGATTTGTGATTTCTCAGAGCTTGCTTTTAGCAACCTGAGTTCAACACAGAATTCAGTAAATATCAGAACAGTGTTCAACATTTTGGTCTAATGAAAGTCTCCTAAAGATTTGTTGGAGATTAAAGAGGTATGCCAAGAGAAAGAAGTTCAAACTATAGAATACAATTCAGACTGGATTCTTGTGTTGGAAGAAATGAGGGATATTATATAAATGAGTGAATGAATATTTGTCATTAGATTTGGAGCTCCCTTATGAGGTATATTTGTTTGTCAGAGCACAAGCTTTCTGCAGCTCTACAAGCTGCAAATTAACTTGCTTTTATTTTGTGATTGGTTATTAACTTAAACATAGACATCATTTGCAAGCCCATTGCTCTAGCAATGTTGGAAGAAATGAGGGATATTATATAAATGAGTGAATGAATATTTGTCATTAGATTTGGAGCTCCCTTATGAGGTATATTTGTTTGTCAGAGCACAAGCTTTCTGCAGCTCTACAAGCTGCAAATTAACTTGCTTTTATTTTGTGATTGGTTATTAACTTAAACATAGACATCATTTGCAAGCCCATTGCTCTAGCAAAGGGGTGTCCAACCTTTCACATTCCCTGGGCCACATTAGAAGATGAAATTTTGGTTTGGGCCACACATAAATTTGGTTTGGGCCACATGGGGGTGCAGCCCTAGCCATCCTCCGCAGCCCCGCTCCAAGCACGCTTACCGGCAGCTGCGATCTCAGATAGCAGAGGCTGCCAGCTTCGATTCCGGTGGCTTTATGGGGCCAGGAGGGGGTCCACCTATTGATGGGGACGGCACAGCCCCCCTCTCCCCTCTCCTCCTGCTCCTTCCTTCCCTCTCCCCCCCTACCGTTGACGTGCCCCAGCCGCATTCCGGCCGCAAGCACTGGCAGTGTAACTTGAAACTTTGGAATTTCTTTAAAAATAAAAAATTGCACTGGGCCGCATTATGAGCCGACCTGGGCCGCAGGTTGGACAAGCCTGCTCTAGCATGTAGCTTTGAAAGAATTATGTTCCTGGAGGGAAAACATGCTGTGGGCTTCTGTTGTTATGAGTTTCTACTGCCATGCTAACTGTAATGCATAGTCCAACCCAAAGAGATTACTGAAGTGAGAAAAAGAAAAGAAAAAACCAACAGGATCAAACAGAGGGACACCACCACCACCCATAGCTGAGACACAGTGGTATTGATAGTACACATAATGTATAACCATCATGAGATGTAGCCATTGGTAGATGAATTCATTAAAGTTGCCCAAGTCAGTGGCCATAATTGTATCTTGTGGCAGCAGAATACTTTGTTTTACTTGTCCTGAATCTTCTACCATTCAGATGACCTCCAGGTTGTAGTCTTATGAGAGAAGGATTCATATTTCTTCCCATCTACGTATCTCCACTTCTTGACTACTTTCAAACCTATGTATCATGTCCTCTCTTACTTACCTTCTTTCTAAGCTATGAAGCCTTATGGCAATGGGGGCAGTCCTGCCCTCTCATCAGTCGAGTTGCTCTTCTCTGCATGGGGAGAATTGTTTGGAAAAACTGGTTGTGGGAAGGTAAAGTGCAGGATCCCTTGGGGGCAGGGGCAGCACAGCCTTGTCCTACATCACTCTTTTACTTGAAAGATTCCCAACCCAGTCACTGTTTTATGAGGAATGTGAACAAAAGCCCATCATGTCTGGTCTGGTTGACATCAAGATGGTGACCACTTACAAGTTTCTGTCAGAGTGACTACAGCTATGTAGGGCTCCGTTCCTCTCTGGAACATAGCCTCTTCATGAGAGGAGCTTTACCAGATCATTAAAATCCTGCTGGATGATCAGTGCTAACCTGATCATTTTTAGAGATCAGGCTTCTGACAGTCACTTTTTTCTACTCAAATTCTCCCTCCTTTCAGGTCCAACGCTACTAGCAATATCTGCTGATGGTGTCTTGAGTAAGAATATAATTATATGTGTATCTGCAAGTAAATGTACTGGTTTATTGCTTTTCCTGCAAAACCATTAATCCTGGGTTTTCTCTTCCAGTATTCGTATTGTTCTGGTTTTCTAAGTTCCTGACTTAATGAAGCTCCTCTGTCTGGATCTTTTCATGGAGATTTCACTCTTTCGAGTCATTTGGGTTTTTTGGGGAAAATACTGTATAAACTATGCGGCTAGATGATCCATCTTTCTTTTCTTATATCAATTGTTATTGTTGAGAAAATACAATAAACAGCATCATTCACAACGTGGAGACCTCCTTGTACTTAACTCCAGATGCTTAGAAATTCTAAAGTACACTTTTGGTTCTTAATTATGTGGAAAGGACGTAGCCCACAATGCCAGAAAATCTGTAGGGTGTCCAACTTCAGTGTCTTTACCTTATACTGTGACTAAGGTATGTTTTCTGTAAAATGTCACATTGTACATCATTTGAGGAAGAGAACATGGATGAGGTGGCTTTTTTTGTTTTGTTTTAGTACATACAGTTCCTTGATTGGAAAACCTTTAACTGAAAAGAGAGCCTAATTTTTCTTTTGGCTTGTATAGAAATAGAAACAGTAAATAAATAAATTGATAACTGAAAGTTTATAAAGTTTCGTGACTATTTTGCCCTTCCTAGTGGAAAACAACATTATTTATAATTAAAGCCAAGTATAGTCTCTCCAGAGGTCAGAAACTGTAGGCCCTTTTGCCAAATGTGGCCCCTTGCAGTCCCAACCCACTCCCCTGGGCTTTCGCCATATGTCCTCCTTCCTCATCATACTATTATTTGAAGATTTCTCTGCTTTTATATGTATATGTCTCCTCTCCATTCTTAAAGATTCCATCTCTTAATTCTTGGCTAATGACAGCAAAAGCTTTAAATTGAAATGCTCTTAAGGTATTTGTCCTACCCTTTGCCTTTGGCCCTATCAATCACCAGAATACTCACCACTCCCCTGCAAACTTACCTGAAATTGGATCAGGCCCTTGGGCTGAACAGGTTCCACACCCTTGCTCTAACTGCCTTTCAAACATGAACAACTCAACTGTGTGTTCACCTGAATTATACATTGTTTACATAAGGAACAAGAATGTGTATTTTTTCATAAATAGCAGTAATACTTTGCGAACAGCAAAACAAAGCGAAACAAAAAAACAGTACAATCTTGTACAACCAGCAGCACTTATCAGACCTTTTCCCAGTCTTTTTAAATGGTGCTGCTGCGCCAAAGTTCTGCTAACATCAAGTAAGACTATCCTCAGCAAAAAACAAAACCAAAAAAACTACAATACTTTCACAGCTTAAACAAGTCAGCTTCTCAACGTTTCTACTTTCACAGCTTAAACAAGTCAGCTTCTGAACATTTCCTAGTCTTCTAAAAATATATTTCAAAATATTTTACAACCAGACATAGAATCTCTTTGCCAGTATAAATGCTTGTTTGGTTAGGAAGGAGTTAAAAACAATGCTTGTTTGGTTAGGAAGGAGTTAAAAGTTTTCCTCCTGAGAGTCATTTAATTGGGTCCTGACAGACAGGGTCAAAAATTCAGATTGCCCCAAACCTGGAGCTGATTTCCTCTTTGAAGATTTGTGTCAGGAATCTGGTCTCAGAAATCCAGAGAAAATGTTAACTGAAAGTACTCAGCCCCAAACCTGGAGCTGATTTCCTCTTTGAATCTGGTCTCGGAAATGCACAGAAAATGTTAACTGAAAGTACTCAAGGCTGGGATAAACACAACTACTCTGTGCTTTTGTAATACAGGAATACTTTGAATATGCCTTACAAAATTGTGTAATAATTTCCTGGAGATACATGGCAAGATGTCCCTTTCCATCTCATCATTCATGACATGAAGAGCTGTTTTTCCTTAGCTCCAGATGCTTAGAAATTTTAAACCATTCTTTTGCTTGTTAACCATGTGGAAAGGACATAGTCCATAATGCCAGAACTCTGTAAATAGCCAATAGAAATCTGGAAGTACATCAGATAATTGGGTTTTCCTGGAAGAATATTCCACATTACAATTGCTTTGCCTTATGGCATTCAGATCAGACCTGTTTCAATGACTGAATTATACCTTTCTGGCATATGGTAAAGAAGGTTCAAATATCTCACACCTATTCTTTAGGACTGATTATAAGCCACTCTATAGCTTAAAAACTGGAAGCATTTGTTCCTTTGAAAGAGTATTTAATTTCAACCAGAGCTTGAGCAAATTACCTCAGTGGAGCTTTCCCTTCATTTTTTTTTAATTTACTGCTTCTTAACCTTTGGTATACCAATAATTAGTAGTTATGTGCCATAAATGTCAAGATCATTTTGTCAACTCTTGAACATTGTCTCCTAGTGCATTAAAAAAGGCTAAGAAGGGTGTTTCTCCATTGCAAAATACTTCACATTTTGCATGAAAGTTAAAATAGTTAAAATTGACTCCCACACACACTCACACACTACAGTACTACATAGCAAATAGTTAATCATGCAGAAAGTTGCATTATTATAATGTTATTTGTCTTTGTTCAGTTGTCAGGGGCTTGTTTATTTTGTACCAATTCAGCTGGGATCTGTTCATTTGTTTATTACTCTTCTATCTCACCCATCTAGTGACCAGACACTATTCTGGGTGGCTAACAACAATATAAAACAACTACCCACTTGGCACCCACAAACACATAAATACTCAAACTCAAACAATGAAAACAGCCACAGAAAACTAAAATAGATCCAGAGGCAACAACGAATCAAAACCAATTTCCAGCTCATAGATCCATGAGGATGTAAAAAGGGGAGGAAGTTTCTAAAGACCTATTTAAACAATATAGATTTTACACATTTCCTAAAGGTCACAAGGGAGGAGCCTGATGTATATCAGTGGGCAACACATTCCATAATGAGGCCACCACTGTAAAGGCCCAGTTACTGGTAGTAGTTTTCCAGCCTTCTCTAAGGGTGATCACTCACAATCATGAAGCCTGGCTGGACCAGGTGGATGATCTTCACTGCTAAAGATGAAAAGGAGATATAGGGTTGCATGTCATCAGATTATTTTTGGTATGTGTGATCACCTATCTTGGCCCAGAAGGAGAGTTAGGGATGTGTCCTATGGTGATGGGTCATGGTATGCCATTACAGTGAGATAATCCTCTTCAAGAAGTGCCTGAAGTCTCTCCGTCAAAGAGCTATTATACCTTTTTTTCAAAATGACTATTAGGTTTAGGGTTTTGGTGGATTGGTGCTGAAGTGCTTAAAGGTGCCTGGCTCACTCGCCCTCTGGAAATCAGTTAATCCTCTTCAAGAAGTGCCTGAAGTCTCTCTGTCAAAGAGCTATTATACTTTTTTTTAAAAAAAGACTATCAGGTTTAGGATTTTGGCGGATTGATTTGCCTGGCTCACTCACCCTCTGGAAATCAGTTAGGGGGGGACTCCCCTTCCCACCTGCCTGGAAGCCCTTTACTGTATAAAGAAATGTCAACTAGACCTTCCATCTAACTGCTTCTAAGAGAAGCACCATGTGGGTGTTTTTTGAGTTTTTAGTGCAGCTTACATCCCACCCACCTCACATGAGAATGAATGTCTTTCTAGCAAGGCTAAATTCTACCGTACATACCCAGGCAGCCCACAAAAGTTGACATCAAACAGAACTGGCCTAGTCTTTAAAGTGACTTGTGACACTTTTAAAGCAAGATACAGCTCACTCCTCCACTTGCTTTCAAAAGAAGAGGGCTTACAATATCAGAAATATCTTTCTGGCAAGTTTCATTTTCCATTTGGGGGAAGGAAGTGCAGCCGCCAATGAGTCCAGGAGGGGAAAACACTAGCCTCTAGACTATGGAGTCTGCCCACTCTTGGTTTTCATGGAGAAATATGCCAGGCAATTCAGAACAGTACATAACCAGTTCGCTTCTACAAGACTGGTGTCTTTCCATTACATGGGTAAACAAGACCTAGTCCTTAAATGAACCTTCATGTGCATACACAGGTTTCTGGGACAAAATTAGCTAGGCTAATATGCTCCTATTCTGTATGTTGCAAAAAAATAAATGGAACACAGGTTGTTTGTATTAAACCTACACCACTGTTATGTGCTGTCAAGTTGGAACCAATGTACGTATAGCAACCCTAATAGGGCTTTCAAGGTAAGTGAGATATTTAAGGTGTGATTTTATCAGTTCCACAACCTTGGTGAGTTTCCATAGCTGAGTACTGATTAGAACTAAGGTCTCCTGAGTCCTAGTCTATTGCTCTATCACCTGCACCATACAGGGTTCATAGCTTGGGTACTCCTACTGTATGTTTTTAATGGTTTATTTTATTGATTGATTTTGTATTTTAAAACTGATAAAATTTTTGAAAGAACTTTTGTTCTAGCAAGGTGCAAAAATAATGGGTTATGAAAGCAAATTAATCTTCTGTTTTGCAATGTCTCTTGATTAGAGATGGGCATGAACTGGTGGTTTGTAATGGTTCACTCTTTGGACACACAGGTGTTGTGAGGCACCCTGGCTTCCCTGCCCCACCTCCTTTGGTGGGCGCCCACTCAGAGACAGCACCCTTAGCTTTCCTGGCCCACCTCCTCCTCTGAGTGGGCGGCTGCCAGGGGAGGCAGGGGAAGGAAGCTGGTGTGTCCATGGAACACCTGTGTGTCTAAAGAACAAATCCATCTCTACGCTTAATGTTAAGAATTGTAACACCCAAGAAGGCCAAAAAAGCCAACACGAGGAATCAATCTTTCTTGGTCATGTCTCCTTCCCTCTTGCTGCAGAAGATTGGCAGGCACAATCCTTCTGTGTTTTAAGAAGTTAATTAAGACCAAATTATATAAAGCTGGTTTCTACTAGTATGAATATTGTCCAGAGATGTTCAAATGGATTTTAATTTGATTTTTTAAAAAAAAATATGGTAATTTTAGCTAGTGATGTGATTTACTGTATTTTACTGTATTTTTGCATTTATTATATGATTTTTAATGTATGATTTTTTTAATATATTGTGAACCCCGAGAATGACAACACTAATGGGGTGGTATAGAAACATAAACAATAAATAAATTGATAAATAAAAGTTTATATATTTTCCCTTCCAGTAGAAAATAACATTATTTGTAATTAAAGCCAAGTGAGTTAAAGTTTCTGCAGTGTGTCAGCCTTAGTGTAGTCTCTCCATATCTGTATGTTATCAAATATTCATTCTGTTTCTTCATCTATGGCAATTAGACTTCAGACAGTATTATCTGACTAAACTCCCTCTCTGTGTGTGCTTAAAAATGATAAGGTTTGCAGGATTCCAGTAAATCTCTGTGTGAAAATGGGGAAGTGTAACACAACCTAGCAAACCTTCCTCAGGCATTTGTTAAGTATTTGGAACTCACATGTAGGAATGGATGGTGTTAACCCCATGGCCTCCACCTTTGCTTTTGACACAATGAAGAGATATTCAGCCTACATGGACAGAGCAGTCTCTGTATCCTCCCTCCACCCCTTTCATTCCTGGCTTTTTGACCCATTGATAATGGATCCATGCCATTTGAAGAGAGGCAGGGAGAGAAGCACCAGCACCATGATTCATGGACTCTGTTGCACAACCACAGAAAGCCACGGGATGGGAGGGGGCTTCTTTTGTTCAACCCTTGCCTGCTCAGTTTTTGCAATGTCATTACAGCCTGCCCCTTGGCATCAAGTTTTGGCCTTGAAATGTCAGGAGATGGGAGGCTGTGGGCCAGGAAACTCTAGCCAAAAGCCCTGTCCTTGGTCCCTGCTTTATATGTGGCAATGTGTGTTTTTCCTGATAAATGTGACTTGTGACCAAAGGGAAATGGACCTAACAACTATTCCTCAGTGACTTGTGGCAGAATCTTGGACTCCCAATTTTGGATGTCCTTCTCATCTCACCTTATACCCCAGAAAATCTGTAGTGTGTTCAGCTTCTGTGTCTTATACATCTTTAGCTGAAAAGGGAACTTGATTTTTATTTTAGATTCTCTTTTCTCTCAGCTGTTCAGATGAACTTTCACTACATACTTTGTGAGGCATTGAAGACCTTTGTATCACAGCTCCTAACAGGACCTCCCCTCTCCCTGCTCACTTATCATAGATTATGAAATGTGTGTGCCACATGGGTTGATATAAAAAGTTTTCTGGTTATCTTTGTATTCTTGTCAGAGCCAAAGGGATCAGCATAAGTCTTTTGAAAAAGACTGCAGAGAGAAAGTCACGATCCTGGCACAGATGGCAACTGCAGGGAAGGTAAGGAAGATTGTTGCTTTTTGAACTAAGAGTCGTCAAATCCCCTAACCAGCATGGCTAGCCAGCATACTTTCTTGGGGTGTTCTGTGCAGCGCAAAAAAGTAACTTTCCCCATCTCTGGCGCCATCTAAATCTATACAAAAGCTTTTGCCAACGTTTGTGCCTGTGGGTATTAGATACATTCTAAAATGAAAGAGCCAAGGGTTAGTAACTATCTGTTTCATATAGAAGGGCTCTGTGACTTCTGAGTAAACTGACTTACAATATGTTGTAAAAATCAACCTGTGAAGCTTTATTCCCCTGGTTGTTGTGGGTTTTTCGGGCTCTTTGGCCGTGTTCTGAAAGTTGTTCTTCCTAATGTTTCTCCAGTCCCTGTAGCTGGCATCTTCAGAGGACAGAGCATGAATAGAGTTCCTACTCCTGTCCTCTGAAGATGCCGGCCACAGAGACTGGCGAAACGTTAGGAAGAACAACCTTCAGAACATGGCCAAAGAGCCCGAAAAACTCACAACAACCATTAGATCCCAGCCATGAAAGCCTTTGCGAATACTTTATTCCCCTCTTGGAGATTCAAAAGCCTACTTGATATACATGAAGGAAAATAAGAATAGTAGCTTTGATGTTTCAGATGATGCTGAGAACTGGTGTTGCATTGTGCGCAGGAACTGTTAACCAAGAGGTTTCAAGTGCAAATATTACCTTCACCAATAACTCATCAGGGTGCCTTACATGTGTTCTTTCATCTGCTCACATGCGCAAAGCGATTCTCACTGACTTAATAGCGCTTTTGCAGGGAATGTGAATATGAAAAATCATGACCATCCTAAAACAAGATGAAAATGGTTACAATTATTACACTATAAATCAGTGTAGTTTCTCTGCTAGATGACGAGAGAGAGAGAGAGAGAGAGAGAGAGAGAGAAAGAGAGAGATTGTGACACCTTAGAGACTGACTGCTATATTTTAATGTGAGTTTTTGTGGATCAAGTCCACTTCATTAGAAATGAGGGTGAGACTATACAACTACCTTATTTACACAAGGCAACCCTACAGTCTCATTCTTACGGTGGACCCTCGACTTAGAGATTGCTCCACTTGCAGACTTTTCGAGTTACAGACTTCTCTGGCCGCAAAATTTGGGTTCGACTTGCAGCCGGAGAATCGACCTACAGACCAGAAAAAAAACAAAATGGAACAAAAACAGCCGGTTATGGATTAATTGGTTTTTAATGCATTGTAGGTCAATGGAGCCTTGACCTACAGACTTTTCGACCTGCAGCCACCATTCCAATATGGATTAATTCCGTAAGTAGAGGGTCCACAGTATGTCTCAGGAAGTGAACTTGATCCACAAACACCCACATTAAAATACAACAATTAGCCTTCAACATTTTCATCTCTTATTTTGTGTTTGTTTGTCTATTTGCTTGTACAGACGATCACAGCTACTTCATTGAAAGCAGTCTCTCTGATTGTCTTGTGAAAGAATTTTGAGAAAAAGGATAAGAAAGAGCATAATTTGGCTGTTGTCAACATCATAGCAAGATAGTCTTCTGTTTCAGGTTTAATATTATAGTCTTGAAACATCCTTAATGTCCCTGACTCGAAAACAGGGCTGGCAGCCCTCATTACAGCCAGAATCTCAATACAAAATTTTTCAGGATGAGTATGCTTATGAGTGCTCAATCTGTTGACCATATAGAAATTGTTGATGACATGGCAACTTTAAGGCTCTTGTTCTTCCTTCTTATGTCTTTTTTATCCTTAAGCTCAGCTTGGATCAGGCAGCCCTTCAAATGGAAGATACTGTAGCTTCAAATACAGCATTATTTTCTGGAAAAGAGGACAACACAGCCAATCTAGCCCTGGATTTGCCTTCTCCCTGACACGCCAGCTATCTTAGTACTGGGAGTGTGTATCATGCCCCCTTCAGAGGGCAACCTAGGCCACCCAATGAGGAAGGGCAGATGGGACCAAGGGACCTACAGATTATTCCAGAAGGTTCTGGGCCCTTGAAGGGGAGAAGCAGGGCCAGATCAATTTCTCCCACATTAATTAAAAATGTGGGAAGTACTCCTCAAGACTTGGATAGACTGAGTCACATATTTTTCTTTTAACCAAAGGAAGTTCAAATCATCCCAGAGTATCTCCACTGCCCTCAGGTCCTTTTCATTCCTTCCTTCTGTTTTCCTGTTGGTTGCTTGCCAGCAAAAGTGGAATCCAGATGTTTCACTTTGATTAGTTTTCATAAACAGAGACAGAAATAATGGATCTCAGTTGCTGGACGTGTACAAAGACAGGGCAGATGCTGAGAGGAAGGAAACTGTTATAGAGCAGGACCGCCATATCCACTGGGGATTGGTTCCAAGCCCCACTGTGGATACTGAAAACTGTGAATAATAGCAAATACTTAGATGGATAGACAGCATGGTAAAAGGGGGGGGAACCCAAAAATTTTTTCACATGCATTACCACATCTGGCCAAAAGACGGCAGCAGAGACCATGTTATGTATTCTTCGAAACTGTTATAGAGCAGGACCGCCATATCCACTGGGGATTGGTTCCAAGCCCCACTGTGGATACTGAAAACTGTGAATAATAGCAAATACTTAGATGGATAGACAGCATGGTAAAAGGGGGGGGAACCCAAAAATTTTTTCACATGCATTACCACATCTGGCCAAAAGACGGCAGCAGAGACCATGTTATGTATTCTTCATTAACATTTATTTATTTATTTATTTATTTATTTATTTATTTATTTATTTATTTATTTATTTACAATATTTTTTAGCCGCACCATTGCCAGTGGCTTCTTATAGCATGGTCTCTAGCTCCCTGTAGTGGCCGGTTCTGGTAATACATTTGAAAATAGTTTTTCTGGGTTTTTTCTTTTAATATTTTTAATATTTTAAGACAGTGGATAAATGAAAATGCGAACACTGATTCCACAGATACTGGGTCCTATTGTATTCTACTTCTAAAGTCTACATAGTTTGCTACTATCTTTAATAATCTTTACAACAGCACACAGAAAGGCAGGTAAGCAGAGTGAATGAGTGGAATTTGCCCCTTCTCCTATTCATATTCAGGAGATTCTGGCTTTTCCTGGAGGTTATTCCCTACATGTAGAGCAGTTTTATCAGAAGCTGCTCGCACCACCATATACTTCTTTATCAAATCGGAGGAGAACAGAAGGTTGTGAGGAGTTAGGATTGCGTGCAAATAAAGTTCTTCCCAGACTGTGCTAGTGGGTTTGATCAAGGGGAGCTCCAGAATTAGAATGATTTCATTCCACATCAGATATCCAGATATTTTTGTCAGCATGCAGAAGACAGCTGACGATTTAGAGAACTAGGGGCAGAGTCTGCTTCCCCTGAGGTTCCTGTCCTAGAAGACAGCATTTCAATGTCTATTTGGAATGATTGAATGGCTTGCTTAACTGTTTGTTTAAAATTACTACAAACAAATGGAGTTCACAGACCACATGGGCAGAAACCCTGTGACCTTGCAGATGCTGTTGAACTCAAATTACTATCAATCTCAGCCAGGCTAGAGGTTCCTCAACTCAAATGAACTTAGCCCCTCAGGCGATCATTCTCAGCTACATCTCATGGTCAAACTAAATGTGATGCATGAGAAAACCAAATCCCTTTAAGCATTAAAACATATCTGCTTGCTCTAGTGTTAACACATTCTGGTTCTATAGGACTATTTTTTTTAAAAAAAAAGAGTATTATTTATTTATTTTATTTTTATTTTATTAGACTTATACCACACCCACCTAGACCAAAGGTCTACTCTGAGCAGCATTACAATTTTAAAAACAATAAAAGTTTTGCAAACCCAAACGTTATAAAAATGTTTTTTTAAATAACAAAACAGTAGTAATATAAACCCAGCCAGCCCCAAAGTAAATGCTACAATTTCTACACTCTGAGTAGTTTTCATCAGCACCATCAGGAGTTGCTTGAAGAAACGAGGAAGAATGGAAATGTCTCTCTGAAGCCAAGAAAGAACAAGGTCCCAGATATATTTATTGATTGAGGCAGGAAATCTGCAACATAAAACAGCTCCAAGTATACTATCTTTAGAACCTTAAACCGAGGTAGTAAAAGCCTTATCAGTCTCTAGGAGAACAGCAGCTTCTGCCTCTTTAGCTCTCCCACTCTTTCTCAGCTGAAATCTTAAAACACAGAACTTTTTAAAATTATCCCACTGGTTGGGCTGAACCAAATAATCCATAGGGGTTACACTAGCACAAGCTTTGCCACCTCCATGTCATGTAAATTAACTTGTTTTGCTTTATGATTGGTCATTGGGAAGCAAACACAGGCTTAATATGTGAGCTTGATTGTTCAAGTATGGAACTCTGAGGAAATCCCATTGCTGTAGGACAGGGGTCTCAAACATGCGGCCCGGGGGCCATTTGCGGCCCTCCAGATGATAGTTTGTGGCCCTCTCCTTGCCTGCCCCCCCAAAGCACCCACACATCCTCTGCTGTCAAGAGTAAAAAAAAAAGCCTTGCCTCGCTCGCCAGCTCTATCCCAAGACAGCACCTCTTGCACCCTCCATCCAGAACTGCAGCCTGGCAGCCAGCCCACCTGTCTGTCAGCTACGGAAACTCCTGGGCGGCTTCCTTGGGCTCTTGCTCCGCTTGGCGGAAAATCTGATGCGGCCCACTCTGTCTCTAGCACACACACACACACATATAAGTTTATTGCGTAGCACACAGGGTGTTGCAAAATACATCAAATAAAAACAACATAACTTCAAGTATGGAACTCTGAGGAAATCCCATCGCTGTAGGACAAACACACTAAACATCCTTCAAAATGTTAACTGAGCCTTGCCTCAATTTTGATGCTCAGATGCTTTGTGGGGGGGGGGGATCCAGAAAACGGAACCCAGTACTTTTTGCTGGCTGAACGTATGCTCTACAAAAGCAAGGGCAGGTGATACATATATTAGAGCACTAAAAAATAAACATGCTAGATATCTTGGCACATGAGGGAGAAAATGTTACCAGCAGACATCCTGATCTGTGGTGGTTAAATACAATGGTAAGAAAGTGAATAACTAGCCAATGCTGCCATTTCAGGAAATTCAGAATCAGCTGTCTGAAGGGGCCACTGCATTCTGGCCCTGTTTCAGTTCTGGTTCAGCAGTTGTATTACCACTCCGGTTTCTAGGAGAAGCATCTCTCACTGAAACCATTGTGACGGACACTTTTGAATTTTCTTCTCACCTACTTCTGTTTCCAATGTCATGTGTGTATGCAGGTCATTAAATGCAAGGCAGCGATAATCTGGGAAGCTGGCAAAACGCCTTCTGTTGAAGAGGTGGAGGTGGCACCTCCAAGAAGTGGTGAAATCAGAGTGAAGGTAAAAGCTCTTGATCAAAAAGGGGAAGTTTCCCCCTCTCTGTTTAATATGAATTATTTCTGCAGTGCATAAACATCTGGCACCTAAATTATGAAGACATAGGGTAAGGCGGCAATGGATGCAAGAGTAATGGCTTAGATTATAATAGGTCTTAACTGGATCTGATCTAAGACAACTGTTGTCAGGTATGAACTGAGGATGAAAATATGCAGTACAGGTGGCATGTTGCTCCAAGTGGGAATTCCTTAAGTGCTGAAAGACATCTGTTTGTCAAAACAGGAGTTTTATGATTGGCCATCAGGAAATAAACATGAGCTTTATCAGTTTTGCTCAGGTGCAAAACTCTGCCAGAATCGTATCTTTGAAATGCTAGCCTGTTTTCAGGTTCTAATGATCTGCTCTCTGATTTATCATTTGATCCTGGGTCAAAGCAGTACAAATACGGAAACAACAAACATAATGTGGTCATGCTCACCAGGAGAGGTTGCTGCCACCTTTGGAGTTACCACAATGTCAGGGGTGGAGTTGTGTTGAATCCCCTAGTCTCTTTTTTCCTTTCCTTTTTTACTAGCTGCATCAGCTGCTGGTTCTGATTTGCAAGTGAAAACTCCCTTTCTCTCCTCAGAGCACAACCAAATATCTGTTTCTTTGCTTTCCTGTAGTAAATTCAGTGACAATGGTAGAAAGGGATCTGTGCCTTTAATTCAGCTTCAAGACTCCTATCTAAAGTAATGGAGTGTCCGTCCACACAAATGACATGTTTATGGGGATGGTAACCATTTGCAACCTACTGTTCTGTTCACACAGATAGTGGCTACTGGGATCTGTCGAACTGATGATCATGTCCTGAAAGGTTTTTTCCCTAACATAAGCTACCCAGTTATTGCAGGCCATGAAGGAGCTGGAATTGTTGAGAGTGTTGGACCAGGAGTCACCTGTGTAAAGCCAGGTAAGAGTGAAGCAGGTGAGAAATTAAGATGCGCCTTAGTATTAGACAGCACATCATGTAAAGTATTGCTGGGAAACAGTGGTGGTCCTCAATTTGTTCTTGGCCTCCATGTCCCATTCTCCCTCCACATCTCATATTTCACTATTGGAGGGATGATGGGAACAGTAGCTTGTTACGTTCTGGAGGGCTCATGCACCAGTTCTTCATCTATGATGCAAAGGGCTGTAACAGAGCAGTTTTCAGTTCTGTTAGCTGCCCAGAGAACAGGTACAAGAAGGGCTGATATACTCATATGCCAAATAAATGATTACAAATTAGAGCAAATAGCAGGGAAGAAGAAGGTGCTTAATGCACCTAAAATTATTCCATATTTCATTTCCCACAGCCTTGGATGAGTGGGTGGAGGCCAACAGAGCAATACATTAGTACAACTAGTTGCAACTTGGTCACCAAAAAGATTTCTGGAGCAATTTGTTGCAGGGAAATACACAGACACAAAAATGCTTCTTTTGCCGTTACTCACCTAGGCAAATCACTTTTAAGGAACTGCCACAAAACTGGCCTAGAATTTTAAATAACCTAAGTTAAAATTAAGCCAAAAGGAATTTGTCATGTTTTATTGATATGGAACAGACTTGGCTTTTTTTAAAAATTCATATTTAAAGAAAATTTCCTAAATCTTTGAATTTAGCTGCTCAGCAATTTGGAATTTTAATATACCAAATATTTCATGCCACTATTGTATTTTTTCTCTCTCCCCTACAAGGTGATAAAGTAATTCCTCTTTGCCTGCCTCAGTGTGGAGAATGTGACTGCTGCTTGAGTCCAAAAACTAATTATTGCCTCAAGAACCAGTAAGTTCTTCTGATGTCTAGCACATCTCAACCATGAAGCGAATGTGTCTTTGTTTCCTATACAAGAGCAACCTCACTTCCCAAATACTTTATGTTCTAAGAAAGATACTGTACCCTGTTGTTGGGAGAACCCATCCCTCCATTTTAGCTGCTGTAAGGTTTGTATATGAAAGAGGGAATTGGTGGACGGAGTGAGCTAAATCACATCATCACCCCTACTAATAAAAAGGCCCTACTGTTTCAACCCTATGAGTCTCTACTCTGCTGTACTGCTAGTGACATCTTTCATTACCCATTTGTGTTTCCCAATAACAGTGACAATGATTTTTTAGCCCAGCCAATAATACTGACCTGTCTGAATCTCCCACCATTTAGCTTCCAGGGATCTTTTCAAAACTGGATGCCAGACAAGACTAACAGGTTCACCTGTAGAGGAAAACAGGTTTATCACTTCCTGTGGACAAGTACCTTCTCTGAATACACAGTTTTGCCTGAAGCTTCCATTGTAAAAATCAGTGATGAGGCTCCGCTGGATAAAGTCTGCCTCTTTGGCTGTGCCTTCCCCACTGGTTATGGTGCTGCTATCAATACCGCTAAGGTAACAATCTTGGGTGTCTGCTTCCCAGAGACAGCAGAAGTTACTTCCTTGGCCACTGCTTTGAGATGCTGGGAGTAGTAATTTAAAGAAGTAACTTTTTCCCATAAGACTGTGGTTTCTTAATACTGGTGGTGGGCCCTTGCAAGAATCACTTTTCCTGAACGTCTTCAAGATACAAGCAGAATGGCTTGAGCTATTCTGCTCTCATTGGTTTAAGCTGTTCTAGAACAGCCTTCCACAAGTTGGTGCTTTCCAGAGATGTTGGCCAAACACCCACACTCACTACAGCTATAATCCAACACACGTGGAACGCACTAAGCAGAAGAAGGAAACAGAAAACGATGAAATAAAACATTGTGCGGATGGGCAGAAGGTACCACTGATCTTTCTGGATCAATGGTTCCTAATCTTGGGTCCCCAGCTATTCTTTGACTACAAATCCCAGAAACCTTCACCACTAGCTATGCCGGCCAGGATTTTTGGGAGTTGTAGTCCAAGAACCACTGCTCTGGACACCGGCTAGGGAAAGTGAGGCTCTTTAGATATCATTGGATGTCAACTCCCACTGTTTCTAATCACTGGCTATGTTAACGAGAGTATCTGGGAGAAGGAGGCCAACAACACATTTTGCTTACCCCTGTCCTAGGCTATGATTGAGCAGACATAAGCCTTCTTGGGTCAACTTTAAGCTCTTTTCTTTCTAGCACCACAAGCAAATGATCCCATTAGAAAACAATGTGTATGCCTATTGTGGCGAAGTGACCGAATTGGTAAAGTGCAGCAGTGTCACCACAACTGAGCAGCCTGTACTGCTCCTGCTCCAGGCAATGTTACTCTCCAGAGCCAACCAGGCCTCAAAGGTCTGGGTCTGCAGGGTCTGAATGGCTGGATAACTCAGTGGCTTACGTCTCTAGCTACAGAGACGGTTGGGAGTTCAATTCCCCACTGAGCCTCTTTGAGACAAGCTGGACTCAATGATCCATAGGTCCCTTGCAGCTCTGCAGTTCAAAGGTTATTATAATTTCACAGTGAAGTATTGTGTAGTGGTAAGACTAGTTTTTCCTTGCACTCTGCTAACAATATAGTAGGACCCCCATGTCCGTAATGAAAACTCTGCATGATAGCAAACACTTTGTGTGTATATATAAAATGATAAAAGGGAAAAACACAGAAAAAATATTTTCACATGCGCTACAGGAGGTTCCAGAGACCATAGGTAAAGGTAAAGGTTCCCCTTGACAATTTTTGTCCAGTCGTGTTCGACTCTAGGGGGCGGTGCTCATCCCCGTTTCCAAGCCATAGAGCCAGCGTTTGTCCGAAGACAATCTTCCGTGGTCACATGGCCAGTGCGACTTAGACACGGAACACTGTTACCTTCCCACCGAGGTGGTCCCTATTTATCTACTTGCATTTGCATGCTTTCGAACCGCTAGGTTGGCGGGAGCTGGGACAAGCGGCGGGAGCTCACTCCGTCGCGTGGATTTGATCTTACGACTGCTTAGTCTTCTGACCCTGCAGCACAGGCTTCTGCGGTTTAGCCCGCAGCACCACCACGTCCCTTCCAGAGACCATACTATGTATTATTCACTAAGCCGCCCAGAGACCTTTGGGTAGAATGGGTGGCATATAAGTTAAATGAATGAATGAATGAATGAATGAATGAATGAATGAATAAATGAATAAATAAATAAATAAATGAATGAATGAATGAATGAATGAATGAATGAATAAATAAATAAATAAATAAATAATTCATAAAACAGTCTCTGGCACCTTCTAGTGGCCAGTTCTGGTAATACATATGAAAATAGTTTTTCTGAATTTTTTTATTTTAATATTTTTAAATTTTTCAGACTCTGCATAAGTGAAATCATGGATACTGATCCCACAGATATGGTGGTCCTACTGTACCTGACTGTGATCAATGAGTCAGGTACTTCGGCCTGGCCCATTCTGAGGAGACCAGCACTTATATGGCCCATGCAATTTTTTTGTACAGCCCACTTGCCAGCCCACTTACCAGCCACCTGCCTTTCTGTTTTCATTTCCAAGTCTGAGCAACCATTAATCATAGAACTCATCAACCAAACAGCCTACTTTGCATAAACAAACAGAGTAGCTGTAAGCACTTTCTGATGCTGGTCATGTTTTTTCAGTACTAGAACTGAATCGGCACTATCTTTTCAAACAAACACATTGGCCGCTCCACGCATCCTTCAATTCAGGACCCTTATCTGAGTGAACAAATATATTTTATTGCTACTGTTGGGTAGGTGGGTTTTCTAAAGTGGCTTATAATTTTCAGATACACAGGTCAGAAACCCATGCCAGTCACCCAGAGATTGACTAATAACTCCCAAACTGCCTTTCCACAACCCCAGCCCTAAGCTATGCCTGATCTGGTTAGCTGTATTCCAGCACTCCTGCTGTATCCTCTATTCCAGTGGTCCCCAACCTTGGGTCTCCAGATGTTCTTAGACTTCAACTCCCAAAAATCCTGGCCAGCAGAGATGGTGGTAAAGGCTTCTGGGAGTTGTTGTCCAAGAACATCTGGAGGCCCAAGGTTGGGGACCACTGCTCTATCCTATGTCTTCTTTTACTCTGTTCATTATGCATTACTCAGCTTTCTTCCAAGGAACTCAGAGAAGCATACACTGCTACTCACTTTACTGTCTAACTCTCAGAACAACTTTGTGAGGGAGGACAAACTGAGATTGAGTGACTGGTTGAAGATCACCCAGTGATCTTTCATACTTCAGCAGGGAATTGAACCTGGATCCCCTATATCTCAGCCCACTATTCTGACCACTACATCATGATGGTGGCCTGTGGAAACTATATCTTCACTGAATTCTGTTTCTGTATTGGCTTTCTTCCTATCTGCCCCATATTTTGTCAACCTTAATTTCAATCGCACATCTCCAGACCCTGATCTTGCTATACTTTGCATATGTCCTTGGAAATCATTCTTACAGATCTCTTGTATATATGGATTTTCAGGTTGAGCCTGGTTCTACCTGTGCCATCTTTGGCTTGGGAGGTATTGGTCTGTCTGTTGTCATTGGCTGCAAGACAGCCGGAGCATCGAGGATCATTGGGGTTGACATCAACAAGTCCAAATTTGCAAAAGCCAAAGAATTAGGAGCCACTGAGTGCATTGCTCCTCAAGATTTCAAGAAGCCCATCAATGAGGTGCTCATGGAGATGACTGGTCTTGGTGTGGATTATGCATTTGAAGCGATTGGACGTATTGACACAGAGGTATGTCGTCTCTCTTGACTATCTTCCCAGTTTTTAATTTTGTTGCTGAAGATAGCTTCAGATATTGTGTGCTAACTTCAAAAACAAGAGTACAGAATGCTTCATATGCCCCCATTCCATACCTCTGAAAGACTCTGGGATGTTATTTTTCAGAATGATAAATATAGCAACATGTTGAAACCATCCATAACTCAGCAGCATTAAAATGATGCTCTGGTCTTGGAGCATCATCCTACTACTTTTCAGTTGTGGGTCACTTTAGCTCAATGTGGGTTTCAGCCTTGCCCAACACTGGCAACAACTCCTTCAGTGATAACCTGTGATGGAAATAAAAGTGTCCCTGCTCTACTGCCCCTCCCTCAGTTTCTGTCTCTGGATGGGAGCAAGAAGGAAGTGGAGAGAAAGAGGCATCCTTATCCAGCAAGAAGGACAGCTGACTGACCTGGGAGGCAACACCTTATTTACATGTACAGTGGTACCCCGCATAGCAACATTAATCCGTTCCAGGATTAATGTCACTATCCGGATTCGTAGCTATGCGGGGGGGAAACCCATAGGAGCGCATTAAACTCCGTTTAATGTGTTCCTATTGGGGAAAAACTCACCGCTATGCGGGGAATCCTCCATCCGGCTGCCATTTTTGCCACCCGGTAAGCGAGGGCAGGGTGCGAAAACGCTGCGGGCGGCCATTTTGTTGACCCAGCGGCCATTTTGGAACCACCGATCAGCTGTTTGTAAAACATTGCAATGCGAAGATCGGTAAGCAAAACGCTTACCGGTCATCGCAATGCGATGTTTTCCCTATCTAAAACATCGCAATGCGATCACATTAGCGATCACAAAAAAGCATCGCTATGCGGATTCGTCGTTAAACAGTGCGCTCGTTAAGCGAGGCACCACTGTATAATGTTGTTTCTTGTCACTGATCTGTTGTCCTGAGTTTCTGTGGCCTTGAGAAGTGGCTAATAGTGCCATCCCTGAATGAGATAAATGTCAACCACCTCCAGTTCTCTTAACCTATATTTCAAGCTCAAAAATCACATATATTCCATATGGTAGATCTCTTCTCCAACTGCTATGGTTTGTAGCTAGCCCTTCACATGCTCTCCTTTCATAAGCAATTAACCTGGGGAAACTGTCGAAAACAGTGGTTCCCAACCTTGGGTCCTCGGATGTTCTTGGACTGCAACTCCCAGAAATCCTGGTCAGCACAGCTTGTGGTGAAGGCTTCTGGGAGTTTTACTCCAAGAACATCTGAGGACCCAAGGTTGGGAACCACTGATATAAAAGATGTGAGTGAGAAATCAGGAAGGCAGCTCCACAAGAACATGTGAAGAGTTACTAGACCCGGGCCTGAATCCATTTGGTATCTCTAACTAGAGTATTCAGTGAGTCTGCTCTTCTTAAAATCGGCATTGGCTTTCAGCCCAGTCTAGTCCAGAATTCTGCTCCTTGATGCTTTCAAATTCTTATCTTGTTTTTCTTGTATCTCAAATAGGCCACTGCCCTCTCATCCTGTCATGCTGGTCATGGAGTCTGTGTGCTGATTGGGGAACCCCCTGCAGGATCCCAGCTTTCCATCACTCCTATTCAGCTCATATCAGGGAGGAAACTCACAGGCTGTTTGGTTGGAGGTGTGGATTTGGTTAAAATGCTCATAAGACAATTAACTGCCTGTATGTGCAGATGATGGATTCACTGACAAAGGATGTGCAGTCCCAAACTGCTCAGGTCTGGAACAAATACAAAGACAGGTTGGGAATATGGATTCCCTTGGCCCAGTACCCATTCCCTAGCATCACAAGCATTGCATTGAGCTAGAAGTTCATTGTGAACTGACATCACAAAGAGCAATAAGGGCAGGAATCAAGATAGTCCTTTTGATATCATGACCCCCATCCTTATCAATATAGAATAAGAGGTTTTAGAGAACTATGAGGGACTTGCCATTATACACACAAGCATATCATCTTACGGGGTGGAGCTCATCCTGCCATAACAGGATGAAGAGTAACCTGTGGTTTGACCACTGTCTACTACTGTCAGTGTATGTTGGAACTGCTTGGCCATATATGTTATTCTTACATGCCTTTAAGTCACTTCCAACTTATGGCAACTCTATCAATTAATGGCCTCCAAAAGGTCTTATCATGAATAGCTCAGCTTAGGTCTTCAAATATAAAGATACATCTCACACTGGGTCTTTGTAGAATCATAGAGCAGTTACAGCAGTACGACAATGGAACCAAGAGGTGAGTACTCCAATGCTGGAGGTTTTTAAGAGAAATAGATCCTTTGATTTGGAGTCCTGTACCGAGCAGAGGGTTGGACCTGATGGCCTAATAGGCCCTTTCCAACTTCATTATTCTATGATTCTATGATAAACAGTGATATAAACAAGGGCTTATTTCCATGGTGATCTCACAATGCAAAGGCTGGAAATATCACCGGCCATGGAATCTGTGTTTGGCATCCCAAATAAAGTGTTGATAGATAGAACACGGAAGTGTGAACAGATATTATGGTCTGATTAAAATGATGCAACAAGCCAGAAAATTACAGGAACTCTGGCTTGTCAC